GCTATCTGTGAGATATCATTACAGAAGAGACTTTTGAATGTCTCAGGAAGTGACGAGGGACTGTACTTAGAGAATTAAGATACCCAAAGGGTGGGATATACAGCATTAAGGTTTTAGACTGATAATAGAGGTGCGTGAAGGACGCGTTGAGTGGTAGTGTGCGAATCGGAGAGCTCCTTAATTTAAGTACAAAAGAGCAGTTTAATTTGGTCAGTAGTAAAAAATAAGTGGTTATCTTCTTTAATAAGTGTACTATAGTGAACCTTATATTTAATTTTTTTTCTATACTGAACGTTTTCTTCCTTTTTTAACTTACTCTTAAGCCACGCTTAGCTCCTAGGCCATTTTCCGCCATATTGTGAGCTATTAGTATCTGATCTTCCGCTCAACGCTTCTAAACTGCATTTTCTTAACTTAACTTTCTGTTAATATAGATTAGTAGTAGAATTAGTAAACATACTTGTTATTTTATATCTTAAATACGGTGATTTGTATTTTCATAAGTGTACTGGTAGGCCTAACCTACAAGTAGTGTGTTACTTTGTCTTAAGGAAGCTGATTTGTATTTTCGTAAGTATACAGTAGGCCTAACCTACAGGGAGTGTGTTATTTTATATCTTAAGGAAGTCGATTTGTATTTTCACAAGTGTTATTTATATCTTACATAAGTTGTTTCTATTTTCGTAAGTGTACAGTAGGCCTAACCTACAAGAAGTGTGTTATTTTATATCTTTAGTAAGTTGATTTGTACTATTGCAAGTGTACCAGTGGGCCTAACCTAAAATAAGTGTATCATTGTATATAGTGGGCCTTAAAAGATTTGTGCCAGCATATACTCTTGTAAGTTCTAATCACAAATTAGACTCTTTAAATATATCTGTTAGTTAGTACTGAATTATAAGTTAACATAAGTGGTAATAATGACCACAAGGGGTAACGACTTATCAGGTAAATGTGGGGCCTGCAGAAGGAAGGTTAGCCAGGGGACAGGATGTGAGGACTGTGGCCTGTGGTTTCATTGGGAGTGCTCTGGCACCAATAGTGATTTGGCCATATTACCTTGGTACTGCAACTCCTGTGTGCAAGCCAAGGTAATAAAGAAACAAGAGGAGACTATCTTGAGTTTGAAAAGGGAGCTGGAACTTGCAAGAACTGAGATTGACCTCTTAAAAGGGGAATTAAATTTAGTAGATAATTGTCCTGAAGAATTTAGGACTGTGTCCAACTCCCGAAGAAAACTTAAAAAAGTTCCTTCTTCACTAGATGTTAAGTTAGCTTTAACCAATCGATTTGAACCTCTAGCTATGCTAGGGCCTCAGACTGATGGTGACGCTATAGATCAGCCTGTGTTAGAGGCTAAGCCTAAGCGTAAGATTCTAGTGCTGGGTAGCAGTCATGGTAGGGGTATCGGGCAGAGGCTACAGAAAGCAATGGGAGATGCATATGCTGTGACCAGCATATTCAAGCCCAATGCTGATCTGAGCAATGTCACTGGGGACATTGGAAAATTGTGCAAAGGTTTTAGTAAGGAAGATCAGGTAGTTATAGTTGGGGGGCCAGGTAACAGTTTGGAGAGAAACCTCAATTATCAAATTGAGAAAGATTTAAGTGACATTGCCCAGAAAACTAGTCACACCAATGTGAGGTTTGTTGGTCTTTTCTGGCGACATGACAAGCCATGGATTAACAGGTGTGTAAGGGAGATTAATCTTCGGCTTGAGCGTTCGCTTGTGGAGGTCGGCGCGGCCCACATTGATGCGATTGATGTCTCTTCAATATTGAGGAGCGAACATACTGTCCATGGTTTGCATCTTAATCCTCGAGGCAAGGACAAGCTGACGCGACTCATTGCAGAGAGCATTAAGGGCAGACACATTCCAGTTGTCATGGGTGTTCAGAATCATTTTTTAGGATAAAGAGTGCAAGTAAAGTTTATCAAGTAAAAGAAATTGCAAAAGAAACTAATCTTTCAGACAATAATGTTAGTGAACCAATAGAAATCGGAAAAGGTAATTGCAGTCTACTAAATTCAGTGAATAATAAAGTACTAAGAATATTCCATCAGAATATAAGAGGATTGAGAAACAAAACAAATGAACTAATAAGCTCCATGAATTCAAATCTTCCACACATACTGTGCCTTACTGAACATCACATGAAACAGCTGGAATTAGAACATCTTCACTTAGAAAATTATAATTTAGGTGCTAGATACTGTAGGAAAACACTGGAGAAAGGAGGAGTGAGTATTTTTGTACATGAAAACCTAAAATTTACTAAAATAAATTTAGAAGATTATTGCAAAGACCAGGATCTGGAAGCATGTGCTCTAAAGTTAGACTCTCCTTTTTCTAATATTTGTATACTGACTTTATATAGAGCCCCATCTGGAAACTTCGATCACTTTATAAATAGATTAGAAACCATCCTAAATGTACTGCATAGTTCAAAAGTTGAATTTATAATTTGTGGTGATATAAATATAAACTATCTCATCGACAGTAATAGGAAACTAAATTTAGACTCTTTGTTATCATCTTACAATCTCTCCAGTACTGTTAACTTTCCCACAAGAGTTCAAAATAATTCTAGTTCAGCGATAGATAATATATTCATTGATAACTCAAAATTAAGAGACTATACTGTAGGACCCTTTATAAATGGCTTATCCGATCATGATGCTCAACTCATAGAAATAAATAATATTGACCTTCAGCCCAGTAATCAACAATATCAAACAGTAAGGAAAATCAACAAGCATACGATGGCAGATTTTGTCACAAAATTAAGTAATGAATCATGGGACAATGTATTTGACAGCAATAATATTGATTCTAAATTTAATTGCTTTCTGAACACATACTTGAGGATCTTTTATTCAAGCTTTCCCTTAAAAATAGTCAAAAATGAAAATAAAAACAAATCCACCTGGATAACAATTGGAATAAAAACTTCATGTAAACACAAAAGACAACTATATTTGGCCAGTAGGGACAGTAATGATCCAAGACTAAAAAGTCACTACAAAATGTACTGTAAAATTTTGTCAAAAGTCATTAAAGAAGCCAAACAGAATAACTATAACAGCCAAATTCTAAAATCAAACAATAAAATTAAAACCACCTGGGATATTGTGAAAGTTGAATCAGGAAAGAAATCTGTTAATGAAGACGTACAAAGTTTGAATATTGAAGGGAAGTCCACTAACAATCCACAAGCTATCGCAAGTGCATTTAATGAATATTTCCTTTCATTAGCTGAGAAAACATATTCCAATAATAATAATAATAATAATAATAATAATAATAATAATCCAATATACTATCTGTCTCGTGCCTTTAACAATTCATTTCCAAATATCAATCTCAAATTCTCAACAAGGAAGGAAATTGAAAACATTATTAAATCCCTTAAGCCCAAAAATTCACATGGATATGATGAAATCTCTACCAAATTACTTAAAGCAAGCTCTGTTTACATCAGTTCACCCTTGAATCATCTATGTAATAAATCTTTATCATCAGGTACTTTTCCTCAACGCTTAAAATACGCTGTAATGAAACCACTTTTTAAAAAAGGAGAGAGAAAATGCATCTCTAATTACAGACCAATATCCATATTGACTTCATTCTCAAAAGTCTTTGAAAAAGTTATGTATAATAGACTACTTGAACACTTAAATTCTAACAACATATTAGTCAAAGAGCAATTTGGATTTAGGAAAGACCTAACAACAGAAAAAGCAACCTATGAACTAACTAACGATATTTTAAGTGCTCTCAATGACAGATTAATTGTGGGAGGGATTTTCTGTGATCTAGCAAAAGCTTTCGATTGTGTTAATCATGATATCTTACTATCGAAATTAAATTTCTATGGAATAACTGGCAAAGCTAATGAATGGATCAAATCATACCTCAAAAACAGGTATCAAAGAGTTGAAATAAATAATAAAAACTCCAGTCATAATGCATTTTCAAACTGGGGAATTATAAAGCACGGTGTTCCACAAGGATCAATTTTAGGTCCCTTACTTTTTCTTCTCTACATAAATGATCTATCTAAAACCATCAACAATAAATCTAAACCAATTCTATATGCAGATGACACTAGTATAATATTTAAGAACTCTAAATTTGACAACTTTAAAAATGACATAAATATTGTATTTGAAGCCTTAAACAGATGGTTCGAAGCCAATTTACTCTCATTAAATTTTGATAAAACCCATTACATATCATTCACAACTAAAAACAACCACCAAATTGATCTGGACATCAGTTATGCCAACAAATTAATCTGTAAAGTACTTGATACAAAATTCCTTGGAATACATGTAGACAGTACACTGTCTTGGAAAATACATATTGAACAAATTATACCTAAATTAAATGCAGCTTGCTATGCGATGAGATCAATTAAGCCTTTTATGTCACAGGAAACATTGAAGATGGTTTACCATGCCTACTTTCATTCTATTATGAACTATGGATTAATATTTTGGGGGAACTCTTCACATAGTGTAATAATTTTTAAAATACAAAAGAATATAATAAGAATCATTACAGGATGTAGAAGTAGAGATTCATGTAGAGAATTATTTAAGAAATTAAAAATTCTACCTCTTCAATCGCAATACATATTATCGCTTCCCTTATTTGTTGTTTACAACAAAGATAAATTCAAATTAAATTCTGATGTCTATAACATGAATACTAGACAAAAATATAACTTCCACCTACCCTCATCAACTTTATCAGTATATCAAAAAGGAGTCTACTTTACTGGCATAAAAGTGTTCAACAATCTGCCACAAAGTATTAAAAACTTGGGCAATGATACTAAAAAGTTTAAATCAGAGTTAAAGAATTATCTACATGCTCATTCCTTCTACTCTTTAGATGAATACTTCAATGTAAATAGAGAATGATGTAAAATTAAGTTATATTAATTTTTAACCTAAATTGCCTGTACTTATGTATGTAACCTTTTGACATGTTCTGTATCCAAAGGTACTAACCTGCTTAGGATTTATAGAATGTAAATAAATTCAATTCAATTCAAATATCATGGAGGAATTCAAGGGGACAGCAGCAGACCATGAGCAGGACATTTAGTTCCATCATGCAAGAAATGTCAAAATAAGAAATTGGAATGTTAATCACTATATCAGCGATTTCCAGCATTCTCAAATTTACAGTCCCATGAAAGAGCTGTCGCTTTTATGAGAACGTCTCTCACACTGTACAGTATAAACAATAATTAAAAAATCTGTTAGTAAACAGCACAACCAATTATTTAAAGCATAATTTCATATAGAATTACAACTGATGAGATATTCCCAATGAACATTCTGGAATAATATGCATGCAACTAAAAGGAATTGAAATGAAAAAAGTTGGTTGCAAAATGATATTAAATTTGTAATACATATATTGCTAAACAGTTTACAGAACACAAATGAAGTCATGGACCACTGCCAAAGTTATGTATGGCCTTGCGCCTTCAAACATGAAAAAGTCAAAGGGTCAAACTCAACATTCCTTTATACAACTTCTAAAATAACGGCTGACTGAGTTTCATCAGATTGGAGTGATCGAAACAACACAGCAAAATAGATTGGGAGGCAGAATCACTCATTGCACTGCAGCTGTTTGATTGCTGTCAGGCAACATATCTGTGCAGTTATGCAACTTGGATGTACACTGCATTCTTGCCCACAAACATCCACTTGCAATCTAACATGCCTTAGTAATGTGTAGACAATTCTCTTTGTCAAAATATGGTATTTCACCAAAATAACATTGTTATTTTAAATGTTTCCTGTCATGAAAAAGTGCTTGTGCAATTAATTAACAATCTTATATATCACTATATACTACAGCTTGTTGGGATCCACTGTGCTGACCATGCAATGCCTTCTGTCTGCTAAAGTTGGCACTAACTTCACCGACAAGCGGCGGTCGCTAGGTCGGTATAGTTTGCTTGCGGGCTACAAGCCACGGAGTCTATTTTGTATACCACAGCTTAGTCCTCTGTAGTCTTGATATGGATATGTCACCATCCACTGTTCTACACTGCAACGAAGGCTATTTGCTGGGAAATGAGGTGCAGGATATGCGGGAGAGAGGTGGGAACGCATGCACAAAGAAGGAAAAAAAAAAAATGCATGAAATCTTTATCACACGATTTACAAATTACAATTAGACTGCTATAATACAGTGATGTCAGTTTCTTGGGACTAGTTTCATGGTTTATTCTCAATGTTACAAACAGCTTCTGGTAGACAGACCGTGACAGTGAGTTGCAGTTGAATTAGAAGGTTGTGAGGCAGTTGTCAGCCAGTAATGACATGAGCAGTTGAGAGCTAGTGAAGACAGAAGACTTAGAATGTGCTGTAGTGAGAAGTCTAGTGCGTGAGTTAGCTAGATCATTGTAATTACTTGGAGTGTAGGTCTACAAGTTTTCAGGGAACTGAATTACCAATCCAAAAACTTGCATCCAGTCACTTAAGCTTGACAGTACCATTACAGAAGGAGCAGAATGCCAGTCTGCTGTTGTGCAAGTATGCCATCATGTCCTGCAAACATGTTCCTTCCTGCACTAATCGTAAAGAATGCAGAATTGATTATGAGTAGTGATTGATTTGGGGGAGATATGATAACATTGACATAGAGGGGAATGAACAGGTTTGAAAAGGAAAAATTCACAGCTATAAGGAGATTTTTTTAAAAGAAGGTATATTGGATATATTTATTGCTGTGTGTTTTAAATAGATACAATGTCTGTTGTTCTTGCAATAAACACTGGCAGATAGGAGTGAGACATCTGCTTCCTATTCTCTATCAGCTGTTAGTTCCAAAAGACTGAAATAGCTGAGATCTGCGAGGAAAATAACATAAAAAATGTTTTCACTCCCCTTCAAGGTAATTGTAATATTGCCTATCTCTGTTGTTACATATAGTTCATATTGCTTTAAGTTCCCAGAATTCACAAATGAAGGCTTTGCCTGCACAGTCTTAGTTCCCTGTCCAGTTTTCCTGTAATGAGTAACGAAAACAGACATGGCTGAGATGATCTTAGTTTCACTTGATATTGACAGTATACTTCTTTTTCATGCAGGTCCTGTATGCCCCTATGTTAGCGGATGATTTCTACATCAATCGTATGGACTGGTCATCACAAAATTTATTGGGCGTGGGCTTAGGAAGCTGTGCATATATTTGGTCTGCCCGCAGTGAGCAAGTCACAGTGTTGTGTAATTTATCTGAACATGGCTACCCTGTAATCTCAGTTGCATGGAATGAGCAGGTGAGTCATAATTCCATCCCATTATTTTTATGTAGGACAGTAAACTGTGTCTCTCTTAAATTTGAAAATGATTATTGCCTATGCTGTTAATGTGGTACAGGCTGTTGCAGCCGGTCTTGAATAAAGCCACGTTATGCTTTATACATGTATTTATCTGATACTTTTCACTTTTTGTAATTGCTTCCAATGGAAACCCCTGCCCCCTTCCGCAATATTAAAGAGACAGAAGTAAGAGGTTATTTTTGCACTAATGAGGCTTTATGCTTATTGCTATTCATGCTGCAGTCTCCCGTCTACTTCCACTTCCTCTCCAACTGGACCCATGGATGAATCGTGGTTCAGCAAATTGCTGTTCATCTTTGTTTTTATGTGTGTGTATAAGTAATTCCAGATTAAGTGGGGGAAGGTCACCCTGATTAACTGATAATCCAGAGTAATGAAGCAAAAGATAGTTCTAAAAGACAAAGAAAAAATTAGAAAACACATAAATGGAAAATGTAATAATATAGGTAATGCTGAAGAAAATAAATAAAAAAAATATCACTGCAGCAATTTATTCCTCTGTCAGAAGCTGAAATCCAGGGTGTCCTTCATTCAACTGAAGCCATCTTAGATATTTTCTTGTGTGGTTCGGTCTCTTCAGCTGCCTTTAATGTAGACTGAAAGTCCTCTTGCTCCTATTTTCTTTTTATTGGTAATGGGGTGGGACTAAGTCCCTTGTACTGCAGCCTTTTCTGGCCTATTGTACCAGCCCCAGATGATAGGTGAGGGTGATTGTGGAGCAATTGGTGGAATGAAGATCGGCAGGGGTAACTGAAGTACTCTGAGAATGCTGCCCCAGCGGCACTTTGTCCACCACAAATCCCACTTAACCAGACCCGGGCCTCTGCAGTGGGAAGCCAGCGACTAACCACTTGGGCTATGGCGCGGACCCCTCTTGCTCCTAAATCCAATATGTTTTTTAAAGTATGTTACTCAAATGTGAGCAGAATTTTTCATTTTTCATAGTTTGATCTGCATTAATTGTAACCAGATTAGCAAGGATGTACTGTACTAAGGTGCCATGCATAATAAGCAATGTACACAGAGAGGGCATGAGGTGTAGACTTCAAGTGCAGTTTCTCACTTCCCAGTATATTGGCACTCTTCTTTGTCATGTGGCAGAGGGACTTGACTCATTTAATATGAAAGACTGTTTTCTGCAGCAGCTGTACAAAGCCACTGTTTACTGTTGCTGAACAGCTTGCTTACATTATCATTTTTGATATACTGTAAGGCAGGCTGGGATTCTTGCTACTGGATGTTATTTTTAATTTGGTGTTTCATTTATAGGGAAATTGCTAGCTGTGGGGACAGATGATGGTGGCATGCAAATCTGGGACACTGCAGCAAAGAAACCCATTAAAATGATGGAAGGCCAGTCAGGACGAGTGGGTGCACTGGCGTGGAATGGAGATATTGTAACATCAGGGAGTTATGATGGGCTTATCATGGAATGCGATGTGAGAACGATCAGCCTCGTTTTAGAAAGAAGATCGAAATTTCATGAAAGAGAGGTTAGTAGGAAATGACTTGTCACATATTAAAGAGGTTTACACATATTGGCGCACTTCACCAGTCTTGAGAGAGATTCTGTTCCCCAGACATGGCTCCAGAAGAGAGCCTGTGCCTACCCATGGCGTTTTAATTGCCCCTAACTATCCTACCTCTGATTACAAAGTGTACATGACGTACAGAATACTGTCTCTTATATAATCTAATCTGTGGAGAGATGAGAAATGAAAGCAGGAGAGAATATTTGTGAATAAATTCAATCAGCCTCTGTTACTTATGGCTGAGCAGACAGATACATATATTTGTGGCTATATTTAATTTTGTATTACTGTGCAATGCCTGCTATTGACGAAGGCTCAGAAATATATGCATTATGTATAATAATATATAATGTATAATATATGTATAATTATATAATATAATGTATAATAAATATGCAATAAATATTTATTGCAGTGAAAAGTGTTTCAAACAAAAATTATGGGGAGAAATAAAATGACATTTTTATGAGCAGTACAGTTCGTCCATAAGTTACAGTTCAACAGAAGGGAAAAAATGTGCCTGAAATGTTATGCTGTGCATGTATTTCCCAGCTTGCATGCAACAGTTTCCTTTGAAAATATGAAAATGTTGACGATTCACTCAGCATTTTCCATACCTTTGACATTATCTGAACCAGATTTTCTGAAGACTGTGTAATGTACTCGCCAACTATTTTAACTCAGTGGACTGTATCTTAGGCTGGTTCTAAATGTAACAAGTACTCCCTTATACTTTGCATACACCAAAGCACCTTTTCTTTATTTGAAACTGTAAAGCTGCACTTTGCAACACTGACAGTAATCTATCTGTAAACACCCTGAAAAATGGTTGGCTTTGGCCTTGATCATGGTCCATCATTCAGTGTGACATATGGTCTTTCTTTGTGAAACCACTCAAAATGCACAATTCCAAATTGTTATTCTCAGTGTTGCTCATTTTTTTCTGTCACTAGTCTTCCATCATACTGCTTCACTCATGATATTTCATCTTTTGTCTCTGGATTGGTGAACAGTGGTGAAGTCCATCCTGGCCCAATCTTTGATGAGCTACTGGTTTTACAGAGACTTATTACTTCAAGCTTTGTATTTAGGCCTGAGCATTTCTGTTTCATTGCCATGATTAGGATTAAACACTCTGTAAACAGCATCCATCACAATCACAGGAATATTTTGAGCTCCACTAGCCACATGGTGGAAATTTTTCATTGGTTTGTATTTGGTTGGGGGTACTTGAACTTGAACTAAAAAAAAAACACTGTTCCCTGCTGTTACTGTAATGTTCTGAGCAGTCAGCGAGAACATGGCATCATTGATAGACCTGTATGGTTTCTACAAAATGAACAAATTTCTGTGTAACAATCAAGTTCCTTCCGTCAAATGTGACACTTTTTTAAGTTTTCCACCTCGTCACCACCTGCCTTACATGTTTCGGCTCACCATGGAGCCATCATCAGAGGCATTTATAGTAGAAAAAGAAATCACCAACACACAAAACTTCACTTTGTCAAAGATANTATTAGTGTTGTCACACAATTTTACGATATTGGTAAAAGGGAATATAAAGAGATGATATAGGGCAAGTTAGGGGTAAGCAGCAAATGAAATCCAAAGCAAAACCCTGACATCCACAATGTATGCACTGTGTCTTGACTGATTATGTAAACAAACAGCTGTGAATTGTGGACATCTAGCATTGGTTTGTTAGCAGAAGTGGCTGTCTGGCAAACTAAGCTTCTGCGAGACCAGAGGTGGTTCTGAATTGTGGAATTCCAGATTTGAGAGATATGGCCCATAATTGGTTGCAGTTTTGGTATACACCTTGTTTGTTAATACATTTTATTCTGCAGCTATTGCATGGTCCCCACACCATCATGGGCTCTTGGCAACTGGTGGTGGTGGTGGTGGTGGTGGTGGTGGTGCAGCTGATTGGTCCATCCATATCTGGGACTCGCTCACAGGACAAGCAGTGAAGCGTGTGCATACTGGGTCTCAGGTGTCTAATGCCGCCTGGTCAACGGCATCAGTTTACAGGTGCTCCACAAAGTGGCCTGAAACATGGTAAAAAGAGCTCGCGCATGCATTGCTGAACAGGGAAGCCATTTCGAGCATATAATGTAAAGACATGATTTGATTTTGCATTTCTAAGATGTAAGGTTATAAACATTAATAGTAAGTGCTGTATGTCTTGTAGTTTGTGCATTAAACCAGCAAAATATAATTGCTTGGTGTGATGTGTGCAACTTTTCAATCTCCCTGTACATCAACCATGTGAGTTTAGTATGAAACTCTCCAAGTAATTTTCTCAAGTGTGTAGAACTGGCAGACCTCAGAATCAAATAAAAGCAGAGGGCAATTAATGAGAAGTGTATATTATACACATAGTGTGGTGTTTAGTCTGTGATTCTGCAATAATACTATGTCACACACTTTATACAATTGTATTCCATTCAAAAAAACGGCACAATCTAACAGTAAATGTATTTACATTTTATAATTTATATTACTTAATAACCCTGCAGGCAATGGTCATCATTAATAACCTATACAGACCCACATTAACTGCATAATTGTGTTCAATCTTCGATGAATAATTACTGTAATAAAATCTACTGCATGAATAATGAAAACCGTGGCCAAGAAATATTTGCTAATGAATGCATAATGTGTCGTGTAAGACTAGAATTAAGATTAGAAATAAATACATTTTGCTTTGACAAACATGCAGGGCCACTTCAAGGGGCTAGTGAGTAAGTTGGAAGACATAAGCTGTTTAATTTACTTCCACAGTGTTATTGTATCAACACTTAGTCCCACTCTTCATCGTCCTCGGTGTGTGATGAACCAGGCTCTGTGAGTGCTGGTGGTGGTATCATGGCCGAAACTCTTTCCATAGCTCCACTCACTGATGTCTGTGGTTTCTTTGCACCTGATATACCCTACAAATATAGACATCCATCAGAACTGTATCCTGGAGCAGTACTCAGTTGGAAAAGAAGAAATGGCAGTACGCCTCTAGGCTATTCGGGACAAAGAGCCTTAAGGAGTGAGCAATGTGACATGCAGAGACCTACTGTCAGGTAACAACCATGGAAAAAAACAACAAAACAATGCTTGCTCTTAGGAAACAGATTCTTAATAAGCAACAGTTGAGGTCACTGGATTTTTTTTTTCAATTTATCTAATCCTTCCAGCTGTTCTATGACCCTGGGGTCAACTCAGTCCCTAACAGAAATGACTGCTAGGGAGATTTCTGGGGGTAAAGGGTGGTAGGCATGCAAGGTTGACAACCTTACTACCATCTGTGAGCCGACTGTCTAGAAGATGTGGGACCCTCAACCTCTAACACCCCTATGGGCCTCCATGGCCTGTTACAGGGACAGCTATACCTCTATTCTTTCTGAACTGCAACAACTGAACCACAACAGAGGAACAGTGTTTTCTGTGCAGTCTGAGATGAAATGTCATAAGCAGGACAACTGGAGCAGTTGATTCTTAGCCAGTGGGCAACAGAGTGAGCACAGAAGCTAAAGACTCTCCACTGTTGAGAGCTGTTACCAAGCAGTGACTAGTGAAAGCAGACTGAAAATACTTTGAGTGTGCTCTAGTAATCTGTAAAGTGTGGAGATTAGTCATGGTGCTATAATTACTGATGAGTCAAAGTCCAACATACTCAGTGCTGATGGCATCCAGTCAACAAAAGATCTCACTCTAAACACCAGCTACCCACAGTTAAACATCAGGGAGGAGACATTATGGTATGGGGCACCTTTAGTTGAGATTGTATCAGGACCTTTGCACCTCATCAATGGCATCAAGAGTAGAAAGATATCCCTGAGAAGGTTATGCTCTCTCATTCCAGAAACAAAATGCCTTGTGGATTTTCCAACAATATACCGGCCAAAAACTCAGTTCAAAGCAACTCCAGAATGAAACTGAATGTTCTGAAATCGCCTCTGCAATTCTCTAACCTCTACCCGGTCCAACACTCCTGGAAGAGACAGCAATGTGCTGAAAATCGCAAGCCTTTCAACAAGCAAGAACTCTTCAATATCTAGCACAATGAATGGCTGAAGATTCCTCCATAGTTTCTGTGAACCGGGTCAACTCATTGCAAGTAAGGGGTTCTCAACCAAGTACTAGTACTGTTTGTTATTTTTATGGGTTGGTTGAAACAAATATTCTGTTACTGAAATACAACCCGAAGACTTCAGAGCAGATCATTTTTTTTTTCATATTTTTATGATTATTTCTCTGTAAGGTCATATTTGAGCGGCAAGAATGTTGTGATAAACTCAGGACATTATCTTGTATGACTGGTTCACACTCAATACCAAACAGAAATTTCTAACAAAGACTACAGTCAAAAAAACAAATGGACAAAGGCTTTTGAGCTCCACTGTATATTTGACATGGCTTTAACTCCACACTTCATTCAGAAGGAATTCCATACATACTGACACTATCCATACCTTTCGTCGCATTGAAAGTTTGGCGTGAAGGTCAGCCATTAGGTCACCTCCACCTCCAACTGCCTTTTCTTCCTGCAAGAAAAAGATGTTATAGGCCCATGTAGTACTGAATTAAATACATGAATCCACCTTAACTCTTAAGTAGTCGCAGTGGTGGAGTTTAATAGCAGAAGCAATAGAAGTAGAGGCAGTAGTACAGAGAGTAGTGTTGACAGTAGCAGTAGTAGTGGGGGTGACAGTGGCTGGAGCAACAGAGCAGACAGTGGTAGCAGTGCTGGTTACTCTCTACCATTATTATTATTACTTTATATGGGTTGATGGAGAAAGTATCCCATCTCTTCTTTCTTTCCACAAGTTTTCCTTTTCAATATCTTGCCATGTCATACCTCTTTTCTTCATGTCTTCCAGTTCTTGGCTGAACCACCTTATTCTGGGTCATTGAATAGGTTTCTTTTCTTTAAATTAAATTCTAATATCCTCATTCTATCCTTTCTTTTTACACCGTCCAATCACTGTAACATTCCCCATTCTCTTCCAACAAATTTTGAATCCTAGCCCTCTGCATTATCCCTCAATGTTTCTTAAGAAGCTTCCATTTCGCTTTTATTTCAGCATTATATGTTAGTGTCAGCTTAATATGCATATACAGGGTGTCCCAGGAGGAATGTGCCAAACTTTGGGAGGGTGTTCCTTATGTTAAAGTATGCCGATATAACCCAAAACACCTATGTCCATAGTTGAACGGTTACGGAGATAATGGCCAGAGAAGTGTGAAACTTTGACCGGTGTTACACACTTGTTGATTACAAAATACATATTAAAACAGGCAGGAATATGTGGTTTCTGTAATGTTAATAATGTACGTAACATCAAACTAACTTGTGAGTGACATGAAGCCATTAAATTGAACTACAAAAAACTCGCACGCCATGTCAAAGTTGTTGTTAAGAGTTCCAAGCACTATACATGACACATGAATGGCAAGTGCTGACGTAACATTGCTGACTGCGCGTTCTGGTATGCGAGTGTATGGGGCTAACGTGAGCTGCCATCACCACACTCAAGGACAAATATACTCAGGATACTCCTGAACTTGGAAAAATTGTTTAGACCATATTCATGCATTCGACTACTGATAAGTGTTTGGCAAATATCTCAAGGCCATGAAGACCAGCATACCTAGCAGATTCAATCACACAGCTCAGTGAGTGAAATCTCACCCATCAAGGGCATAATGTAAAAAACTTCATCCACATTTAGGATTAGGGTGACAGTAAGGTGCATTAGGCCAAGAGAATAAAATACTAGAATTTTCATATTTTATATGTGGAAATTACTGTCTGGCAAAAATAAATTCTGGGTTGCATAAGGATCCATATACCTAATTTTGATCACCAGCTGTAGCTTATCCTAAAGTATCAGTAAATCCATTCCTTGGCCCATTCTTTTGCATTACTATGCAGTCCAAACATTACCATTTCACTCACTTAACAGTTTAAGAAATGTTATACATAACATAATTAGAACATGTTTTTAAAACCTACCTGTTTCTTCTTTTTTGCTTCAATTTTTAAATCCTTAGCAGACCTTAGTTTGGCTTTTCCAGAACCCCCTGCCTGTCGAATGGCTTCCATGAGGTTTGCACGAGCATCACCATTGCCTTCTGTGTGTACTCCACCAGACTTCTGAAACAAAGTATACAATTCACTGCAGTTTTCTATCCTCAGGTGGGTCAATTACTCACTAAATAATGGAATGACCAAAATTTCATCATCATTATTATGACTGAACAATAGTGGAAGTGTAACCATGTACAATACAGTTCAAATATCACACATATAGCATTTACTTTTCATGGTCTGAAATAAATAAAGCCAATACTTTTTAAATGGTGTTGTGAAAACATATGAGGGCAAGCAATGCAATAGACTGACGTAATTGGGACACCTGATGATGGCACTATGTTGCCGATACATGTTGTGAAGTGACAGGTGAAATTGAGTGCACTACAAGACGGCCACTGTATACATATCATGGATGAAAGCCAATGTTATTATTTACCTCAGAACGTTTTTTGTTATTTATATTGTTCAAATTTCCTGCTCCCCAGCGTGACACTACAAAGGGGCATCATTGCACTAATAGCGTCACATTACTTCCATAGACAAAAGGTTGATACATTACTGAAAAATGTGAGGTAAAAACTGCTGTACAAACCAGTTTACAGTGGTATTTATATGTAGGCGAGTCAAATGAAAAGCTTAAATATTTTTTGAGTATTATTTATTGTGCACAAGTGGTACAAAGCTGTATCACTTTTCAACATAATCACCCCCACGCTCAATGCAAGTCCTCCAGCGCTTACGAAGTGCATGAATTCCTTTAGAAAAAAATTCTTTTGGTAGTCCACGCAACCACTCATGCACCGCATGGCGTACCCCTTCATCAGAACGGAACGTCTTTCCTCCCATTGCTTCTTTGTGTAGTCCAAACATATGGAAATCACTTGGGGCAAGGTCTGGTGAGTATGCCAGATGAGGAAGACACTCAAAATGCAGGTCACTGATTGTCGCAACTGTTGTACGGGCAGTATGGGGCCTTCCATTGTCAAGTTGCAAAAGGATACCTGTGGACAGCAATCCACGTTGCTTTGATTTGATTGCAGGCCTAAGATAATTTTTTAGGAGATCTGAGTATGATGCACTGGTGACAGTGGTCCCTCTAGGCGTGTAGTGCTCCAAGATGACACCTTTTTCGTCCCAAAAGAGTCAGCATAACCTTCCCTGCTGATGGTTGTGTTCGAAACTTCTTTGGTTTTGGAGATGAGGAATGGGACAATTCCTTGCCCGTTCTCTTCGTTTCTGGTTGGTGGAAGTGAACCCAGGTTTTGTCCCCAGTAACGATTCTAGCAAGGAAGTCATCACTTTCTCGTTCAAAGCGCCGCAGAAGTTCTTCACAAGCATCAATACATCGGTCTTTCAATTCAGGAGTCAGCTGCTGTAGCACCCATCTTGCAGACACTTTGTGAAACTGGAGCACGTTGTGCACGATGTGGTGTGCTGAACCATGACTAATGTTTAAACTTGCTGCAATTTCATTCAATGTCACTCGGCGGTTTTCCCTCACTATGGCTTCAACTGCTTGCAGTGTTCTCTGGAGTCACAACTCGATGTGCCTGACCCGGATGAGGAGCATCTTCCATTGAAGTTACACTATTTGCAAACTTCCTACTCCATTCGTACACTTGCTGCTGTGACAAACATGCATCACCATACTGAAACTTCATTCTTCGATAAATTTCAATAGGTTTCACACCTTCACTACACAAAAACCGAATAACAGAATGCTCTTCTTCCCTGGAGCAAGTCTCAAGTGGGGCAGCCATCTTATATTGGTGCTGTGACGGTGTTCGTGCATCTGCACTATGCTGCAACCTACAGGCCATTCTGCACGCTGTTTGTAGCACGCTTGCCAACTTACAGGATAATGGCACAAAATTTCGATTTTTTATTACAAATTTAAGGTTTTCATTTGACTCACCCTTGTATATAAAAGTACTGACTCCCATACAATGCACAATGTTATACTTGTGGTGGCAAAATCTGATCTTTCTGGATGTCTGACAACAACGATGCAGTTCTGCCAAATCTATGGTCATAACGAAATGTGACTCTGAATGCACACTGGCAGCAAAGTAGGGCTGATAATATCTTCCGGGCTGACTACTGTGTATGACGTTTCTGGAGCTCTGAAAATTTCTTCATTCCCCACATCAATAATTTTCATCCATACATCCAGTTTACAACGGAAAGAGAAGATAAAGAACATTTTCCACTCTTAGTGACTGATATCTAAAGACAACAAAATAGATCTAGTGGCCATGAAGTCTACAGGAAGCTGAACATAATGCTCAGTGCTTGGATGTTGCTTTGTAATATCACCCAGCTCAGAATCTCAGATGGAACTAAATTTCAGACTCAATTGACAAAGCAAAGACAGATATTCAAGGGGAATGAATAATCTTTTAGAAAGATCCATGAGCATTCCAACACAGGAGATCATCAACCAGGACAAGAAACAGGGACACAGTTCCACTGCTTTTGCGCCTTATATCTGGAGCCCACTGAGCCATATTAGGAGAATTATAGCCAAACACAACATCAAGTCCGTACACCTTGCACCATCCCACACAGGTAGTGTTCTTCAGCCTGGCAAGAAAAGCCCTCTGTCTGAGGACTCCGGGACTCTACAGGAACCAGCATACGTGGCGTGTTCAAAAAGTATTGAACCTTTGGTCGGCAGAAATACATTTATTGATTTGGAGGTACAAAACCCTAATCCCCTTCAAAGTAGTCTCCTTGGTAATGCACACACTTCTCCCAGCGCTTCCGCCATTGTTGGGAACACTTCTGGAACGCGTCTTTTGGAATGGCGATCAGCCGGGCCATCGCATTCCGCATGATGTCTTCTCTTGGCTCAAATCAGGTTCCTTTCAGCAGCATTTTCAGCTTGGGAAATAGCCAAAAGTCACACGGAGACATGTCGGAGGAGTAGGGAGCCTGACAAACCACAGGGATGTTGTGTTTGGCAACGAAAGTCTGAATCAGATTCACAGAATGGGCGGGTGCATTATCATGATGGAGCTGCCAAGTTTTTGCTGCCCATAGATCTGGTCGTTTGTGCCGTGCAGCATCACGAAGGCGACGAAGGACCTCCTGGTAGTATTCCTTTGTGATGGTTTGGCCTTGTGGTGCATACTCATGATGCACAACCCCACGGGAGTCGAAGAATACGGCCAACATGACCTTGACATTGTTGTGGACCTGTCGTGCTTTTTTTGGCCTCAGGGATGTTGGATGTTTCCACTGTGATGACTGCATCTTGGTTTCTGGGTCATACCCATAAACCCACGACTCATCGCCTGTGATCACGGTGTTCAGAAAGTTGTGGTTAATGTTTGCATTGTCCAGCATGTCCTGTGCAATTTCCAGACGGCGTTGCTTCTGCTCCATTGTTAGAAGCTTCGGTACGAATTTTGCGGACACTCTCCTCATGCCCAAATCCTCGGTCAAAATTGAATGTACCGATCCAATGCTTACCCCTACCTCGTTCGCAAGTTCTAGGACTCTGATACAATGGTCTTCCATGTCTGAAGTCCCCACTTGCTCAATGACATTCTCATTTCGGCTTGTTGAGGGTCTGCCTGAACATGGTTCGCTGTCCATTGATGTGCGGCCATCTTTGAAGCGGTTGTACCATACCTTTATCCGTGAGTTGCTCATGGCATCGTCCCCGAAAGCCTGTTGAATCTTGCAAATGAGTATTGCCAAGCTTTTGGCAAAATTTGATGCAATATCGCTGCTCATGTTGTTCTGTCATTTTACACCTTACTGGAATCTGACGACGCTCATTACATGTCCTCACTCATAGGCCGGAAGCCAGCGGCTAACGCTTTCTGTGGGCAGGAAAAAATTCACGACTGCGCACAAATGTCCCCTCCACATCTCCACTGAAGGGAACCTCCTGCGCTTCATTGGTTTACACGGGGAAAAAAGAAGGTTCGATACTTTTTGAACACACCATGTATATGCTCAGCCATACATACTGGAAAAACAGGTCACTCAACATACAATCATACTGTCGTGTGGAGATGGGTACGTGCTACAAAAATGATGGGTTCCAGTTCGGGTGATTAGATTTATTAGCACTTCAGTTACACACTCTCTCTTAATTACACTTAAATATGGGCAATGCAGCACTATCTCTGATTTACACATGTTCCAGTTCACCGTTGTACACACACTAGGATTCTGTTTCCACTAGTCGTTTCCTAGCAACGGATCTCAACATAGAAACTATCACTTCAAATCACTGTAAATATTATACATAAAATCTTCCAATCACACTTTAAATCCTGACAGGCTGACCTCCTGTATTCTTCGGTGCTCCTGGTTCCACTTCACTCCGTTGGTGTGCTTCCGCCGCTTCTATTTTTCTCTACTTGCCAGCTCAAGAATTCTGCTCACTTATATAGCTGAGGGATCGACATCAGCCAACAGTAAACACATATCACGTGACCCCTACCCACTGTTGCTGTGTGATGTCACATCACATCCGCAAGCTGACAGACACGCAGGAAACATGTCACATGACAGCCAAGTACTGTTTATGTGTGACGTCACCAATCCTACACCAACTGCCGGACACAAACACAGCTTGCTTTACTGTTGCAGACACGTATTGGGTTTACAGAGCTGTTGCCTGGCAACGTGTTGATCAAATATGCCACAATACAAACAAATGCCACTCCTCCTCCTGCTTTTTCCACCCAGAATGTTTATGGGAACAGGCTGTCAATCAGGGCTACCCCATTCACTTTGAGAATATTGAACTGTTAGCAAAGCACTCTCACTTCATCAGACTGAACATCACTCCTTCACATTTTGGAACTCTGGGATTCAAATCCTGGCCCACAAATCAGCTATCCTGACTGAGGTCTCTTGTATTGTGGCATGAAGCCTGAAAGCTTGATTAGTGGAGCCAGAGAAGACGTCCATTGCTGTGCAACGGATCGATAAACACTTTCTGCAGCAATGGATATGCAATCGGTGCTAGTGGAACTGTTGGAAGCAGGACAGTGCAAGTGAGGTGTTGCACAACTCCCAGAGCCATCAGACAGTAAAACATGATCATGGGTCCCTCGCCACTCAGAACCAAGAATGACTATGCTGCAAGAGCCAGCAGAAATTTACCCAACTGACCAGGACTGTGCAAGTCAGACTCATGAGACAGAAAAATACAGTCATGAGTCCCACAGGGCCCAGAATCAAGAAAAGTCAGTCTGCAGTTGGTTGCTGGTTAGCAGTTAGTTGCAGTAACTAGTGAAGACCTGATAGGACTTAATGTGTGCCACAGTTACCTGTAGGGTGTGCTGAACATTGAAAGTGAAACTATTTATAGTTTACACATAATAAGCATTCAATAAATTCAACAGTCAATCCAAACCATGTCTAGTCACTATCATGTGATGATATCATTCTACTATCCCTCCAGCCAAATATCTGGATAGTACAACAAATAAGGCCATAGGAGCTTCCTTCTCTATCTTGTCCAATTCATTATTCATTCTACCACCATCTGACACTATAAAGGCTGAGACATTGAGTGTGCCATTAAAAAAACTAAATAAATAAGTAAAATACACCAAGAATGATTCATGAAGCTAGTCAACAAATAGCAAAACTTCAAAAGGGAAGGTTATCAGCTCAACTTTAGCATTCATACTCTGAAGAAACAGACAAACAACACCTTCACGGGACTTACAGGTTCTACTTCACTGCCTGACAGAATCACATCTCATTGTACTACATTTCATCTGATCATTTCTAGGGGTCTCTGGGAAATAACTCAACCTATCATACACTACTTCAGCTTGATTTCTTCCTTCTTTATTTTTCCTAATGCCTTGCTCCCCTCCCCAGACAGAACCTTCCATGCAGGTTCCCCACCATTCCAGATATCCTATTCACTGCATCACTTACGAGGTCTGATAGTAAAGTTCACGAACTCACTACTATGTGCTTGCCATGGCAGCAGTGGGCAGAAACTTCAGTATGGTTTGATGACACTGGCATATTAGCATTTCACAGCTGTGTTGTTGTTAATCTATGGCAGTCTCTTTCTGAGTCGTGTCTATTACTGTCTGAGTGTGTCTTGGTGTGCCGTCGCAAGAGTGTCGAAGCTTGAATTAGACCACTGTCTGTGAGGGAGTTTTTAGCTACTAAACAAATAATTGTGCTGGAACACCCTCCAGATTCACCAGACCTAGCACCCAACGACATTTTCTGATCCCGAAGGTAAAAGAAACATTGAAATGAAGGCATTTTGATGACACTGATGACATTAGGAGTAATATGATGGCAGCTCTGAAGGCCACTCCACAAAAGCAGTTCCAAAATTGTTTTGAAGAGTGGACTAGGCACTGGCATCGGTGCATAGTTTCCCAAGGTAGTACTCTGAAGGTGATCACAGTGATATTCAGCAACGAGGAATGTAATACTTTTACCATGAAGAGTTCATGATCTTTATCAGACCACGTACACCCTACGTGTGACTACACAAAAATATTCATACGTACTCTAAAACTATAACAAGAAAAATACATAATGATATTCAACTGGTCATAGGCAATAAAAATTACGACCATGTAAAAAAATACAGAAAAATTTGTCTAATAAAATACACCCTGACTTGTAAATATGCCAGTTGGAATTAATGGAATAATATAGTTAACAGGCGTGTGTGCGCATGCATGTGTGTGTATGTGTGCGTGTATGTATGCATGCATGTACTTACAACAACTGAAACTTTTGAAGGTGCAGAAGAAATAATTGCCTCTTGACTCGCCTGAACAGGTGGTGCAGTTGGAGTATGAGCTATAACAGGCGGTGGTGGAGGTGGAGGGGGAGGTGGTGGTGGTGGTGGTGGTGGTGGTGGGAGGAATGCTGGGGGAACAGGAACAGGTGGGGATGGAGCTGCATTTTCAGGAGGAGAAATTGGGCTCTCAGGCACTAAATTTGGTAACTCTGGAATGGCTGGTGTAGTTGATACAGATGGAGCAATCACAGGCCCCAAATCTATGCTGTATCTGAGATCATCTGCTACTCCTAGTAGAAAATGAAAATCATATTTCAGCTGAAATAAAAGTGTTATTAACTATACTGTGAATAATTTGCAGACAGTCAGATTTACGAAGATAGCAATTATGAAAAGTGCATTCAATGGGTTTCATGCTAATTCCTTCCAAACGAGAGAGTGTCACATGAATAAATGAGGAGTCATTCTGCCTTATGAATCCACTGATATGCTACAACATTGGGAATATGGACCAAATAATTGATAAGAATACTTTCTGAGGTATAATGCTGGAAGTTAAAATACCACTCTACATGACATCATTATGTCCCAGAAAACACCATACTGAAAACCTCAAAATTTGATAAACAATTAAGAACTGGAAGGAAAAATTTAACGAATGACATTTTCTGTTATTTGATGAACCCTTTTAACAGATACCAAAGTGTTATATTAATACGTGAATGAATTTCATCGCCAATGCAGAATTTCACCTTATTCCATAAATACACTGTAAATGCCTAAATAAGTTTCTTTAATATGGTATCCTGCAGTATGGGATATCCAAACAAACCAAGTAATCATAACCTAAATGTAAATACCTGGAAGATCAGGTAGGTCCAAGGGAACATCAATTTGTGGCACTTCACCCAGACCAGGAGAATAGAAGTAGTTCTCCCCTGCTGGATGGTCCAACATTTCTCTTTGTGAGATAGAGATAGGTGCTGCTTCCATTCGCTGCACCTCTTCATCTTCTAAAGCTCGGCGAGTCTTTGTCACCACTCCCAAAGGATCCAGCATAACATACTGTTTGTATCTGTAGCATCACAAACACTGTTATTTCTGTCATTCACTTCTGAAGAAAATTAATTGCCAGTTACAGAAAAGACAATGTTATCTATTTCCCACATCTACACTGAATATTCTTAATGAAGTACATGAGTGGCAAGCGCAATATTAACAATGCCAACAGGACGGTTTCATGATTCCCATGGAGAAAACAGCAAAACTCAGTATACTACATTAACTTTTGTTGTCTGGATTTAAATCTGCCACGGCCACAGCAAGGTTGGGCCTGCTGAACCAGCAGATATGCTGCACAGATGCATCTAAGTAACAAGTGTAAAGAAGAATGTGAAAATAATTTAAAGACATCCGCAATCACTACTGACAATACAATTATTTATATTTATATATATTACTTACTAACTTACTCATGGAGCTGAGCCCTTCTGGAGGAGCCCCCAATTCTGAAGCTACTCAAGAATTTCCCAGCATTTTATGGAGCCCGAAGGTTCATTGCCATGTTCACAAGAGCCCTCCACTGGTTCCTATCTTGAGCCAGATCTATCCAAGCCATACCATCCCATCCTATCTCTCTAAGATCCATTCTAATATTGTTCACCCACCTATGCCTTGGTCTTCTTTGTGGTCTCTTTCCTTCTGGCTTTCCCACCAATATCCTATATGCATTCCTTGTCTCCCCATTTGTGCTACATGACCTGCCCATCTCATCCTCCTTGACTTGATCATTGTAATTATACTTGGAGAAGAGTACAAGTTATGAAGTTCCTCATTATGCAGTTTTCTCCAACCTCCTGTCCCTTCATATCTCTTTGGTCCAAATATTACCCTGAACATCCTGTTCTCAAACACCCTCAGTCTATGTTTCTCCCTTAATGTCAGAGACCAAGTTTCACACCCATACAGAACCACAGGCAAAATTATAGTTTTGTATATTCTAATTTTTATGTTTTTGGACAGCAGACGAGAAGACAAAAGGTTCTGGACCAAATGGCAGCAAGCACTACCCAAGTTCAGTCGCCTCTTAATTTCCTCCTGAATCAGGTTTTGATTTGTTATTGTTGTTCCCAAATATCTGAACTGTTGTCACATTTTCATAGGAGAACAATGCATGTTTCTTACCAAGAAGGAATCCTTAGTCCTACAACCTGTAACAGTTTCAGTGACATTATCCAGAAATGATATGATCACAAAAAAATTGTGTTCTGAAATTGTTTAACGGGTGGTGAGAAATTAAATTCACTTGGACATCTCCAGATGGAAACACTCACAACCAAACTGACCATATTTTGATAGACAGGAGATGGAATTCAAGTATACTCAATGTGCAACAGTTCAGGGCACAAAATTGTGATACTGACCACTATCTGGCGGTGGAAAAATTTAGGGAGAGACTGGCAGTGAATAAAAAACATTGAACAGAGATCATATGGAGAGGTTCAATCTCAAAATTAAATGAGGTAGAAGGTAGAGCAGAACTTCCCAGCATTTCAGTTTATGGAACCCGAAGGTTCATTATCATGTTCACAAGAACACTCCACTGGTCCCTAACCTGGGCCAGATAAATCCAGTCCATACTACCCCATTCTCTCTCCCTCTCCCTTCCTCTCTCTGATCAATTTTAATATCATCCACCCACCGTCTTAGTCTTCCTAGTGATCTCTTCCCTTCTGGCTTTCCCACCAATATCCTATATGCATTCCTCTTCTCCCCCATTCATGCTACATGCACTGCCCTTCTCATCCTCCTTGGCTTGATCATTCTAATTACATTTGGAGAAGAGTACAAGTTATGAAGCTCCTCATTATGCAGATTTCTCCAACTTCCTGTCACTTCATCTCTCTTTGGTCCAAATATTCTCTTCAGCACCCAGTTCTCAAACACCCTCAGTCTGTGTTCCTCCCTTAATGTCCCAGACCAGGTTCCACACCCATACAGAACCGCAGGCAAAATTAGAGTCTTGTATATTCTAATTTTTATGTCTTTAGACAGCAGACGAGAAGACAGAAGCTTCTGGATTGAATGGTAGCAAGCATTACCCGAGTTCAGTCTCTCTTAATCTACTCATGAATCAGGTTTTGATTTGTTATAGCCACTCCAAAATATCGGAACTGTGCCACATTTTCAAAACATCTGTTTCCTATCTTTATGTCATGATTTTGCTCTGCATTTTGGTGATGGGACAGCAACCTATACTTAGTTTACTCTGTGTTTAATTCTAGACCAACCTCCTCATTAGCCTCAATTAAAGTCTGTTTTTCTTTATGGTATCTATATTATAACTAGGGACTGGATTTTAATGCAAATACATATTTCTCTCTTGCAACCAGAAAGTATGCTCATTTGGATATATGTATGAATTACTTAATTTCTTAAATTTTGGACATGATTTGATGGTACATATAAATGCATATTTTGCCTGTTTTATGAATAAGCATATTTTCAAAGATCTCTATTTATACTGCATATTTCCTTTTTAAAATGTTTATCATATATATTTTTTAATTTTATGTTCAAATTTTCAATCATGGTATGTGTATACAATTTTTCCTTTCTCTATTAGAATATGTTGCATATTTGACTCAACATTTCGTCATGATACATGTTTCTGATGCAATACCCAGGACAGGACTTCCCCAATCCCTCTACTCGTAACTTTCCTCATCCGTGTACCATCAAAGTGGCCGCGAAGAGATTAGTCAGAAGTGTCCACATGTAGCCGCTATCAACGTAATACTATTCAACCGATAAGGGACTTCACTTATTTATTTCCGAAGTCTCCATCAGGCTTGTTACGTTTCTTCATTTGAAGCTGGGGCCATTCACATTAGTGTGACTAGTCTGTAGATAAGTTTGTTTAGCTTCCTGTAGTCATGCTGAAAGTGAAAGTAAGTCAGAAAACTAAATTACAGCTGTATCAGCGGGAGTTTGAAGGAGAGATGATAACTATGGATAACAGAATTCTTTATTGCTGAGCGTGTGAGAAAACGGTTGTGAAAAACGCTTTCAAGTGCTTCAGCATTTGAACACTAATATACACAAAGAGAATATTAAAATTAAATCCACGAAAAGTGCACCTATTCAATAATTGCTCAGTGAATTTTCTAATAATAGTTTTTCAGTTTTCCTTTGATTTATGCAAAGCGTTTTTAGCAGCAGATATTCTGCTGTGGAAACTAACCAATCCTACTCTGAGAAACTTCACAGAGAAGTATACACAGTACAAAGTGCCAGATGAATCTACTGTGTGCAAAAATTACGTGAAGCAGTGTTACGATCTTACAATTGAAAGCATGAGAGATATGATTCAAGATAATTTTGTGTGGGCATGACTCGATGAAACACAAGACTGTGAGGGATGGTTTACTGAAAATTGTATAGTTGGATCCCTTAATAAGAATGAACAATCTACCCCATATCTTCTTGTGGTAGAGCAATTTGAAACCACAAATAGCTCCGCAGTTTCCAAAATTTTTATCAATTCCATGAATTTACTATGGCCGAACGGCATTCAGTATGAGCGCGTATTGCTCTTTGTGACCGATGCCACAAGTTATATGATGAAAGCCGGTACTGATCTTAAAGTTATATTTCCAAATATGACACATTTGACTTGCCTTGGCCATGGGTTGCACCGTGTTGCAGAAACAATTAGTGCAAATTGTTGACAAATTTGTGTCTTCTGTGAAGAAGGTATCTGTTAAAGCGCCATACAGAAAAGAAGCCTTTATAAAGCAGTAGCACCAAGCGTTCCACTTCCGCCAGAACCAGTTTTAACCCGCTGGGGCACGTGGCTGTGTGCAGCAAGTTATTATACCAAACATTTGGAAACAGTTAGGAATGTCATGAATATATTTGATCCCAAAAGTGCAGCATCAATTCAAACTGCCCAAGATGTACTAAAAAATGCAGAACTAGAAACTAATCTTTCTTATATATCTGCTCACTTCTCTCATCTTCCATCTGCCATTTCCTCACTGGAGGCAAGCAATAGCAATACCACTTTGCATCGGTCGTTAAGTGTGTTCAAAACCAGTGTTTCCAAATTTAATTCGGTTCCTGGAAGAATTGGTGAAGTAGTAAAGGAAAAAGTACACAGAATTCTTTAAAAAAATCCAGGATATGAACAAATTTCTGAAATTGAATAAATTTTAGCTGGCAAACGTACTGAACTGCCAAGTAAGAAGCCACTAACAGTGGAGCAAACAGCGGCTTTTGTACATGCGCCCCTAAGTTCCTGTGAGGTAGAAAGAAGTTTTCCCACTATAAGGACATCTTACGAGACAATAGGAGGCGACTAACTATGGAAAACCTAAAACATTTGGTAATTGTGAACTGCAACAGAAGAGATGTTGAAAGTTCTGAGAGATAATGTGAGTACCATTGGTTTTTTAAATTTATAATGAAATATGTTGGCTTTGTTGCATGATTTGTATTTAAGCATAGCTTTTTATTGCAAGTGAATCATTCAGTGATTACATAAAATGAACTTCAATATTGATTTGTTGGTCTTAAAATAATGTAAATTCAATTTCAATATTTGGTATACATTTTTATGTGCATATTTTGGAAGTTTTTCATGCATAAATGCATACATATTTAAGGGATTATTAGGGCATAAAAATCCAGTCCCTAATTATAACCGAGTACATTCACATCATCAGCATAGACAAACAGCTGATGTGTCCCATTTAATTTCAGTTCCACCCCATTTTCATGCACCTTCCTAATGGCATATTCTAAAGCAAAGTTGAAAAGGAGTGGCGTTACAGCATCTCCTTGTTTTAGACCACTCTGGATAAGAAATTTATCAGACAAATATTTACCTATACAGATTTTACTATACGTTTCGTTTAAACACATTTTAATCAGCCTAACTAGTTTCATGGATATCCCAAACTCTATCAGAATATTGTACAATACTTCCCTCCTAAATGAATCATAAACTTTCTTGAAGTCTATGAATAGCTGACATACTGTCTCATTGTACTCCCATTTTTTCTCCAGTATCTG